GTTTTTAAGTCATGATGCAAGAATCTGGGTCTGAGGCGACGAGTAACAGTTCATCCAGTCAGAACGGAGCAAACAGTGGCAACCACTTTACAGAAGGCAGCCTGAGAGAAGTGCGAGCGAATGGTGAGACCCCCTCTGCTGAAGTCACCACAGCTGATTTAGTTCATCTCCAGCAGCAACAGGTACACAAATTCACCACTCTTGCCGTATTCTGCTATATTATTTTGGAAGAAACTGTACTTTCCAGGCTCTTTGCCTAATAGGAAAATAGAAATGAAATTTGCTGTCATCTAACAGGTCTTTTACATTTGGTCCGATGGTACTTTTTTTTATTTTTTGTTAATAATTGGTTTTTCTTGGTTGGCATTTATTTTGAGTGACGAGCTCGTCTGAACTTCCAGCTCCACATCCATTTTGTTAGAAATAATGTAAACATAAAACAAGCCTTTACAAAGATTGTTCCTTGAAGAAAAAAATATGAATACACTTTTTTTTTATTTTCTTAATCATGTGGTATAATAATCCTTGTGAATAATATACATTTAGAAATCTTACAGTATTTGCTGTGTGCATTAGGATTAGCCTAGAAGTTAGTATTTGCATGTGTGGCTGATCCAGAATAAGCGTGTTTACTGTACCATATGTGGTTATTTATTCAATTATTTATTTGGAGTAGTCCGGCACATTTTAAATGGCTAGGTGCTGTAGGAAATCTAGACAGCCTGGATGATGTGTTATTCAGTGAGATGAGAGGATTTTTCTTATCTGCTGAAAAATATGGCTTGTACACAAACTGATGTTGTAATCTCATATGTCTAGCCAAAGAATCTGAGTGAATTACAGCAGCCTTATTATTAGAGAAGTCCAAAACATTTTCACATTTTCCTACTTGAAGAAAACAGACACCCTAGTTATGAGGGTGACAGGGTTGTGCACACCAAGTGACAGCATATTTAAGTAAGCAGCATTGAAAAGATCACGATGTCTTATGTTATCCGAGGCATATCTCTAGGCTGTACTGTGCAATTTATTGTTTGAGCATGTTGTCAGGAGAATTTTCTACTGTTAAACCCATAATTATTTATCATTTGTATTCCCTGTATTGTTACAAGCAGTGCCCATAATCCTTTTTAAACTACTGGAACAGTACAAGTCTGGGTGATTACTTTGGGTTTAAAATCAAACAAATAACGTACTCACACTTATAAGAAAAAGTGTGTTTCGATTGTGAGTTTAAATTAATAATGCAATTAAAGGCAACTATTGTTCATGTCAGTCTGAGCAATTGAATTGGAACAGCTCCACGCAGTCTGAAATAAACCTTAGATCAACTCCAGGCAATCAAATAAGAGGTTTTCAGAGACTTAAGTCTGGACCTTAAGTTTAATTGTGCTGTAATATTTATCCTGCTGTACTAGACTATTGTGTAGTGGGGTGTTGTGTGCTGATTTATTCAGTAGACAGGAGACTTCCTCTAATGTTCACACTGCATTAAGCGGCATGAATTAGTTTAGCAGTGAATGAAATAACCCTAACCTTGCATTTAAATTCCTCCAGTTCTTGTACATCCAATATAAGACTATATATATAAGGAAATTAATTAATATTGTGCTGTTGATTTATTTAAATTGTTGTGGCTTTTAGAATTTCTGCAGTCAGTGTGTACCCTTGGGCTCAGGTTGTGTTGTTTGGTAACAAGGCCTGATACTGGAAAAGTACCTTTTATATAGTAGATGTTTTTTGTGTGTAAAGATTACAGATAAATAATTCTGTAACTTCAACAAACAGCAGCAGTTCTGCTAAAATGTAGGTGTGTGTATATATCGCTAGAACTGCACAGTGTTCCAGGTACCCTGCTTTTCCCCCTCAGGCTAAGCAACTTCCAATAGCAGGAAGCTCCACCCAACACTTACACTTGAGAGCTGGCATACTTGAAGCACTTTCAGAAATCTGTTGTTTCAATTGCTGCAGAATCCAGTTGCCTCAGTCAGTCCCAAAGTGCAGGTTTTTACTTGAAATGAGCATGTCGTCAGTGAGAAAATCACAGCCATACTGAATTCATTACTGCAGCAGTCACACAAAACCATGGATAAAATTTCAATAACTGCAGGCCACAGTTGAGTAAACAGTTGCACTGAAACTTAATTCCTGTTGACTTTTCCTTCATTCCTTGCCAGGGGCACATTCTGATTTGCTGTGCAAAGACAACAGGGGTTACAGCTTTGATTAATGTGGGACAGAAGAATAGAATGAGAACACTGAAATATGTTAGATGTGCACTTGACACCAAAAGCTTTTTCTTTACTTACACCAGGGCTGACTACAAGAAACTCTTTTTTGAAAAGAAATATTATTAAAATTGATTTTTTTACTTAACACTCAGCAATGCCACCCTAAAGCTCTTTTTAATGTATGGAACAAAACTAGACTGAATGTGAATCCTGATTATCAATTTCTCAAAGATAATTTCTTTTTCATGCATCTGTGTGAATGATAAGCTAAGGTTATGAAAATAATAATCCCTAATCTCTGGTTATTGCACCTTCTCTGTAGCATTCTTCATTAAGTTTTTGCTGCTGTTTGTCTAGCAGTAGTACAGCATTTATTTGAAGCCCCTGTTGTTCATTAACTGGAATAACTTATTATTTGTTAAAATGCTTCACATCCTGTTTTTAAACTTTCACAGTGCATAAAGAGTCTTCTAAACAATGGAAAACCTGTGTAAAGTAGATACCTCAGTGTTTTCTCTTTTGATACCTTTAACTAGAAAGATGTAGTCACCTATAACACCTAAAAACAAACAGCACAAATATCAGGAGGGTACCTGTCTGTTTTTTAAGAAAATCAATTCAGCCAGATCAGGCTGTTCTGGTACCATTTGGTACTAATATTAATTATGCTAGTTGTAAATATATAGATTCTATAATTTAAGAATTTACGATTGCACACTGTTAAAGGCAAATAACATCTTGTGACAGTACACAGGGTCAATTCAAATCCAAACAATTACTCAGACACTGTAGGCTGATTCTGTGAGTCCCTGACATTTGTGTTGTGCTTTCTAGAGTCATCATAGCTGCCATTTCGAACAACAACCTTTCTTTTAGATTGTTTTCTTTAATTTTACAAGCAATATTTTCCTCTGACTTGTCTTTGCATAATAATTTATGCTTCATAAGCCCTTAATTTTCACATGGATTGTAAAGACTTTGATCATTAATGTAATAACGTCACTTTTCTTTTCTTGTGAAATGAAATGGCTTTAATTGTGACTCCTACTTTGCCTTACAGCAAGTGGAATAGATGTAGCATGATCCACTGTTTAGTGTGTGTTAGTGATATTAGAATTATTGGGTACTTTCAAATGACAAAAGAAAATTGGTCTAGTTGATTTTAATTAATCTGAGGTTTATTAATTCCAATGAAATGTAATTCAGTATTTTAATTTTATTTTAATAGCACCTGCTTTCAAATGCCTCCATTTGGTAAAGATGGTGCAGTTTGAGGCCTGTTTTGTTAAAAAAAAACAATTTCTCATCAAATACCCAGAAAAAAACAAGCTGAAGTAAAAGTGATCTTATTTGAAACTAACTTGAGTCCATAAAAACAACATACCTATTGAGTGACATATCATCCATTCTTATTAGAGAATTTAACTATGAAAGACAGACCTCATTAATAAAGATAGTGAATAAAAATAATTGTAATCTGTTTGATCATCTTGATTTTGACAGGAGAATCTATCTTCTAGAGTAGTTAGAAGTGTGGTAAGTCGACCATAGGTCTTATTAGAACGTAATTAAGTTAAGAAAAGAGAAACATTTTCCCTTTTGCAATTGTAAGAGTTACATATAGATTTTATATCAGGCACCTGTTTGACCCTTTCACAGGGAACTGAAAAGTAATTGGTACCGCAGTGAAGGCAATGAACTGCAATTTTACTGTGCTCACATCATGTTTCTGTATGTAGCACATCTGCTCTGCCCCTCTTAGCCTTCCCACACATTTAAAAAACAGCTATGAAAGGGTAGTGTTTTTGCTGGGCTTCTGTTGAACTTCTGCATATTTGTAGCTTTTGTGAGTTTAAAGATCATAGAACTTTAGAGAAATGATGCATTGCAGGTTCCTGGAAAATATTGTTGAAATGTTGCACTTGTTGATGTGGGGTATTAGAAAATTGCAACAATCTACGGTTGCTGTTACTAACCCTTTCTTTGTGCAAACTTCTCTCGCTTGCTTAGACGAAGACTTGTGGTAAACTTTTGGCCAGAGTCTCCTGTTTGATGTGTGCAGGGTGCGCTCTGACTGGAATTTCCCAATTCACTTGCACATCTTAACATAAATAAGCTGGCATGCTCTTGTGGATAGACTACCGATTGGAACTAAAACGATGTCTGTTACTGGGAACAAATTGAATGTGGTAAACGGCACACATATTTATTTCAGCTCCACAGACATAAAGGAAGCCTTGCCAAGTTTTCAGATAAAAGCAAATCATTGCAGAGCAGAAAATCAAATAAACTTTTTACGTGCTGTGCTCTCATTTGAAACCTTGAGTTCCTATTGCAGTATAGGGGAGAGCCACGGTATGTAAAACAGTTTTCCTGAAAGAGGAAGAAGTCGTCTGTACCTTCTTTTTAAATGAACGATGCCCCCTTTTGTTGTGAAGGGTCTCCATTTTCAGTGTCTGCATTGTTTTGTCACTTATGGAACTGAAGTTGTGGTTTCTAGCAAGTACTTTTAATGAGGAACTGAAGATTCTAACTGCGATAAAGAAAGAAAGGTACATTTCTGCAATCGCTAGAGATTTGAGGTTTTTGGTGTTCGTGTTTTGTTGTTGTTGATTTTGCAACAGGGGGTAACAGTGACCAAAACAGAAAACAAACATTGAAAAAAGATGGCCTTATTGATAGCAACCTTTAAAAAAAAATCTTGAGATCACAATATTAAACGGGGAAACATTTCTTATTTTTCAGGAACATTTTTCAGGAAAAACTTTCATCACTTTCACTTCAGTTTGAAATGTAATTTTTAGGATAATTTGTGGTGTTGTATGGGCTGTAAAGGCAGTGAACTTTATTCTGTGTTTTTGTGTGCTTTTATTGACAGACATGTAAGAAATGCTTCTTCTAAAGAAAACTGAGTGTTGATTGCACTGTCACACATGGGAAGCATTGAATTA